CTTTAAGCTGCTTTGCAAACCACACCTGAGCTCTCCTTCCATCACGGAGAACCTGCACACTCCCACACGCACAGCCCGCATGCGCCCTGTGTACCCCCAGATCCACCCCACGCAAGGCAAACACAAAGCACTGCTCCCCTCTCTCTCCAACCTGGCTGGGGGGAGCAGGGGACGGATACATCGCACGTTCCTGAGTCTCGTTACCTGAATGCGGAGCGGGGCTCTCAGCAGCCTGGGACAGCAGCGAGGGGCAATCAGACCCCCGCTGGACAGGAGGCAGCCGGCAGCAAACCCTCCTCAGTGCCCCGGCAGGTCTGTCCGACTCTTACCCAGCGCCTGCATTTCCTCATTTTTCAGGACCCCGCGTTTAATTTAGCGTCCAGCAGCAGCAGAGAGAGGAAGTTGCAAAAGGCTCCGGCTGTTTGTCTCGTTCTCTTAATGTGACAAAGAAATTACTAATCGGGCTAAAAAAAAACTCAGCTAGAAACAACTACCACGAGCTGTCACCACACCATCAGCCTTCTTCCTGCAGGACCTAACACCTCTCTGGGAAGAGATGTGCTTTTGCACCCCCTGTCTCTGCTTGCTGAATCTCACCTGGCACCCGTGATGCATAGGAAGGGGCAGAATCCTTGACTGCCACATGTGTGGGGCCAGGAGGGCAGGGACCCCCGACTCTGGTCCCTCTACCAGTGCCTTGTGTCACAGAGGCTCTGCTCAGCCAGGCCACGATTGCTGCCTTATTCAAGGATCTCAAAGTGCTTTACACAGTCATTAATTGAGCCCTGGTAGCTATTCCCATTTTACAGCTGGAAAAATTGAGGCATAAAGTGAGACCAAGTGAATTGCCCAAGGTTACACAGCAAGTTGGGGGAAAAGGCAAAATGAAACCGAGAAGTCCCAATCTCTGCTCTAATGCATCATTTCCTAGAAGCAGGATTGACTAGGGGTCAGGCCTCCTGGGTTCCCCTTCCCTAACTACCAGCCCCATACTCCCTTCCTGCATTTCATAATACTCTGCCTTTCATTGACACCTCTTCTCTATGGATGACAAAGCCCTGGGGAGCAGGAATTATCAGCTCCATTTTACTGAGCAGGAAACTCAGACATAGGCAGGTGAAATGACTTACCCTAGGAGCTGGCGGCAGAACTGCAAGACCCCAGGGATGCTGACCCTTCGTCTTGCGTTTCAGCTGCAACACTTGCATTCAAAACAGCCTGGGAGTGCTTTACAAACACCCCTCCTTATAAATGCAGGAGGAATCCCTGCTCCTGCAGCTGAAATGCAGCCACCTCCAGAGGAGAGGTACAGGGAAAGCTCAGAAGCTGCTTAAGAGGCAGCTAGCAAGCCAGAGCAGGAGTAGGAAGCAAGGCAAAATCCCAAATCTGCAACTAAGGCACGGAGGGAAGAGGCAAAAATCGACATGGGCAGAATGCAGTTGCCCAAGTTGGAATTTGGCCAGGACCCAGAGACTAACATCCTCATTCTTGCGAAAAAGGTCACGTGATCTTTACTGACCACGGTGGGTCAGGGCCTTGGTCACACACTTTATCCCAAAGCTGGCACTTCCAACGGCAGGGAAGCCCCTGACCTGACACAGTGAGGTGCTGCAACCCTGGATCGGGGAGAAAGCACGATGACACCAGGGCTGGTGTTTTCAGACCATGTGGCAAAAAGCCTTCAAAGCAATTCCTCTCTCGCACCCTCCAACAGCCCATAGGCACAGTGGCAGCATATTATCCTTAGGGTCGTCAAGATCTGCTTTCAGCCGGCCTAATGACCCTGGGAGCTACAGCATCAGCTGCTGGCCTGAGCTCTGTCTACACCTGTGCTCTGACCTGTGCTACCACCAGTGGAAGCAGTGATGGGAAGTGGCAGGGAAAGACAGCTAAGCCACACGTAGTCATAGTGAAGCTCCGTGCCTCGGGGCTGGGAAATTCAAAGGGAAACAAGGTGCATTTCAGAGATGAGTATACTCGGCTATTTGCATTGGCCCTTGTAAATGAATCACGTTCTTACTCAAGCCACCCAACGTATTTGGCCAGACCTTTGGCCTACTGTAAATCTGAGTAGTTCCACTGATTTCATGGGAGCTGTGGAGATCTACAGTAACCGTGGCTCTGACTCACTGGTTCTCGGATGCTGTTAGCACCAAGGATTGAGGTGGGGAGACGGGTGCTTATCCAGCCCTATCCGATTAGATTGTAGGCTATCAAGAGAGACAGGGAATTCAAGAGATCTTCCCCCTTAAAGAAAAAGTCTTTTTTAAAAACCCTTCGCCTGAAGTGCACAGCTATATGCCAGGGCCAAATCCTCAGGGGATGCAAATGGGCACTGAAATCAATGGAGCTGCACTGATTTATACCACAGCTGAGGATAAGGACATGAGCCTTGGACCCATTCCAGACTGGTCAGAGCTGAAATGAAATCACCTAGCAAGCACCATGAACTGATTCCCAGGGCCCAGGTGTCCCCTTCCTCCCAGCCTGCTAGTACAAAATAGATGTAGCGTTCCCCCCTGGGGAAGGGAGAGGACAAATCTGATGATCTGATGAGCTAGAGGGTCACACCCATTTTGTCCAGGCAGAAAAGAAAGCCCCAGGCCCCAATTCTCCCTGCACTATTTCCAGGTGGAGTCATTTACATCAGTCTGGAGGAAGAGCAAAGCAGGTGTGAATTGCTACGGTGCTAACTCAGCATTTTCCATTCACCTGGACACTGGGGTGAATGACCAGATGGTACGAAGGGTCGGATCAGCCCTAGGGTGGCCCTCCTAGAGGACAGTCCAGTTGACCTCTGTTCTCGACTGATACGAAACCAGACGCCTTTATGTTCTCTATTTTTCTCTTGAAGAAAAAAAAATAGAGGACATAAAGGCATCGGGTTTCATATCAATAGAGGACAGAGTAGCAGAAAACCAGAATGTCCTCTATGGTGGCCACCCTAATCAGCCCCTTCTGATTGCCACTAGCCCCTCTCCCCACACCCCTATGACT